TTATATTTGATCAACATTCATAATTTGATCAGGACGTCGATTCAAGCTGTGTTTACGACAATTTGTTTTCTATGAATGATTTTCGATGCGACCTTATGTGTTGAAATGTATAAAAAATAATGTGGTAAAATATTTATCAGTTCATTTAAAATCATATGGAAAAAAACACAAATCTCCAGTGTTCTGTATGGACAATAAAGACGACCTTTGATTTATTTGTTTTATGAATTAATCCGTTTCAATATTTAAGCATTTAGATATAACATTTGTAAGGCTCCAAATTCATTTGAAATCATATTTTGCTAGAGGAGTAATAGTGCAACAGGTCAACGTATTCATGATAAGCATGGACATGATACATGCTGAGTCAATATTTAACATAGATTTGTATAATTGTCAGAGAAAATATGCACCCCCAAAATGCCTGATCATGCCCCAATGCTTAGTTATACTTTATAAATTGAGAATTAAACATACTATGTCCATTTTGCAGCCAACATCAAATTCTATAGAAATCTGCAAAGATCATGAATATGTCATGTATAGTTCATGTATGTCCTATCTGTGAAATTTAAACGTTATCAGTGTCCTAGTATTCAAATTATGGACATAGTACCTTCAAACGGCAATCCAACCATTGTAATAAAATAATGGCGAAACTTTAAAACAAATCGGACAACTTATGAATGCGTTATGAATGTTTCAAAAATGAAATCACTATAGTGCTATGTCATATTAGTAATTTGGTCAGTATATTGTGACCTAGCCACTTTCCAGTTTGTCGTGTACAAAAACCAGTAATTTATGTTTTTGTTCTAAAGTGTCATCTCTCTTGGGGCACTCCTCAAGACATGATCATCGATAGTATTACACAGGTCCTGACAAAAAAAAAAAAACACCTGAGTAATACTGTTTGAAAAAAATATGACATTCAATCATGTTGTGTGTTGAGACAAGTAGTACATTTGTCCGGCACCACGTCACACTCACATTACCGATTCAGTCAATGTGAAGTGCCATAGTGATTAAAATTTACAAATACTCATTTTCTTATTTTTGTCCGATTTCGTTCAAACTTTTAACAGTCTGCTTCTCTAACTTGGTCTGCTTCTGTTTAGAGTACCTGCCTATTGAGTTTGATAGTCCTTTAGTTATTATATACCTCATACATAGATTGTCATTCACTGATTGGTCAAGACTATATCACATGTCAAGGAGCATTTCAATCTATTAAGTATCATTACGTCAGAGGGGTTGATAGCTACTATCAAACCCTGGGATAGGACCCCTAACCCCTCCCGCGACTTAGTTGCGCACACAAATTTTTTGAGTTGCTAGGCTACCGCAATCGCGCGGTTACGCGCAGCGCGTAGGAATTCAATACTCTTGCCTTGGACTTGATGTTTGATTTTTCTTATTTGGGTTAGTAAATTCCTCTTGATCTCGTTTCCTGTTTTTAGAGCTAGATCTAGACCTACAGCTAGACCTAATCATGAATCAATAAAAAGGATGAGGTATATAAAACAAATATGGACTGCTCTGTAATCGGATGATGGTGGGAACTACCACTCCCTCGGTGGTGTTCACACCGGCCCTTCTATCACCCCCTCGGCTTCGCCTCGGGGGTGATAGAAGGGCCGGTGTAAACACCACCTTGGGAGTGATGTTTCCCACCATCATCCTCATGAGCAGTCAATATTTGTATACTGTCTCACCTCCTCAATCTGCTCTCCGTTGACACCAGGACGTACTTGACTCCTGCGATGCCTATCCCTTCCGGGGCACTGCGAGACAGTGCCAGCCACCAAGATGAGACAAGCTGAACTCCCGAAAAGTTCCGGTCCAACCTCTTAGCTCCAGCATGCTGAATGTTTTGGCGGTCCACCGTGTCCAGCTTGACGGTAACAAACCCCCTGGGGTCGGTGGTATTATTGTTTTCCATCACCTTCTTCCTCTCTTGATACAGAGCAGTGAAAAATCACTGTTTTTAGTGGAAATCAACGTTTAAGAAATCATATTATATAGGGAGTTAAACGCATATTGCATTCTACTCTTAGAAAGGTAATCCAATCGCAACTTTGGAGAAGGTTTCATTAAAGTGTCATTCATGATTCCTGCGATATCCACTCTTTTAGGGAGTAATATTAGGGTAAAAGTGGTTTACACTCTCCAACAAATCATCGTTTTGATAGACCTAATTATGATTCCCCAAATTTACTTCGGGAGAATGATGATATGGATAACTTCAATAGTTGGGTTAAATCGAATCCAAAATTATGGTGCAAACCAAACCAAAGAAGTAGTTGAATTACTTTCCTGATCGAGAGCCGTGTTCACTATTACCTTATGTCTTAGTGTGGAGGTCCACTCTTAAATCTAAAATGTGGTTTTCGGGAAGTCAAGATGAAAGTGGAATCATCTCCAAAAGTAGTGGCTGAATTGCTCATTTCGGAGTAGATTTTACTATCTTCTAGCGTGTATATCTATTCCAACACGAAATGATCCGATGATGACTAACCACAAAGATTCGATTTTCAATCAGACCCGTAAATCAAGAAAGCGATCCGCTTGGCAGTCTAACGATAAATGAACCACCAATCAAGTCATTAGCCGAGGCTAAAGTTTGTCGATCCAGTACTGACCCCAAAGCTATCTGATTGCAAATTTCAAAAGCACTTGTTTCCTCTCGATTATATATTCACTTGTAATTTAATTCGTTGGCCTTTTCTTTTAATGGTGCGGGCATTTATTTTCATTTATTTTATTTCATTTTATTTCATTTCCAGGAACATAAAGGAGCATGCAATGACAAAAAATACGAGAACAAGAGGTACAAAAAAGGAGTAAATTTATTGATTTGTAATCATTGTAGTGATGAATAGTTTATATAGTATCAAACTGATATTGCGTTTGCATAGTTTCAATCTGACTGGCCGAACAGTTTGTAGCCATTGTCAACATATCTATTGCAATTTGATGTATGAAAATATCCTTCTTTGTAATTGTTTCTATTTCTATTAATTATTCATACCTTCTCATGCCTATCACGTATACCTTCTGTCATGACGATTATTTCCAATGAATGCATCAATCCTACCTGCTGCGCGTCGCCTTGTTAAAAATTAATGTTCAATTCCATTTGAAAATCTATTAACTCCTCTATTGCGCAGTATTTCTTTCACCACCCCTCCCCTTTCTTTTTTTTCTCTCTCTCTCTCTTTCTCTCTCTTTATCTCTCTGTATATATATATATATATATATATATATATATATATACAAGCCGAAAGCTCGTAATAAACTTGTAAAGTACAGCTACGTATAACGTTCCTAGACCTTTTTCTTTACGCCTACATATTCTTGAACACCCGTTGTCATGTCAGAGTTGAGAATTTTCGCACTGTTATATGTATATATATATATATATATATATATATATATCTTTCTCCCTTATTCTACCTTATTAGAAGGAAAACACTCACCCCTTCCCTGCCTCTTTCTCCTGCGCGTGTATATGACTGTCGTTTGTAATGTTAAAATTTGATGATGATACATTTGCATGAAATGATCCTAGGTCAAAGAGCTGGTTGTAGCCAGCTGAACCTACGAAATGTTACGTAATATATGGTGATGACCTGAAGAGGTTTATTATTCACAGGTACCAGTCAAATGTATGTTACTAGTTCCTTCTGGCACTAGCCACTATATTAAAGTATTAAGCAGGCTACTCGACGAACCCGTACGCAATCGTATAAAATAGGGCCATCACGGAAGACAACTCTGACTTGGTTTCCGGGTCAACAGTCCCCCCCCCCCCCCCCTTCACTCTGAGAACAGAAGGATACCATGTGTGTTACCATAATGCCCGGTAAAGGGGTACTTTTCGTGCGGGAAAGTCCGGCCCGTGAATTCTTTAAAAAAAAAGGGGTGTATTTGACTTTTCACCCGGAGATTTCTTTAAAAAGGGTGTGTGTTTGCTTCTTTCTCTTATCTCTTTGGACTCCTGGGAAATTAAAAAAGGGGATTATAAAATATCTTGAACATAGAAAAATTGATCAAACCCCGGGACTGATGTAGACTAGTTTTGTACTGTAGTCTACCCTAATTCACACACAACTGCATTGCTATCCTGCCTGTGTCCTGTGTATTGAACCTATTTTATTAATTCGCAACATTTCAAACGCCACTATACAAAACTCAACTGATTTCACTCAAAATCGGTACTTTAGTTTTATAGTGACAATTGATGACACCTACAATTAAATCCTAGAAGTAAAATACAACTTTTTCAACTGACTGATTAGTTTAATCTAAAGAGTATCTATAAAGTATTTGATTACAGAGTTTGATTTACATAAGTCATTTATTATGACAGGTACATTAGTAGGACTATGTGAAAGGACACATCATGCAGGCACAGGTGATGTCAGTTAAGATTAATGGGAGGTTTATTTCTAACTAAGTCTCAATATCAGGCACTAAAGTAATTATTATGTGGTGATATATTATGCAGATAAGTGACCATATTATAGAACAAATTTGCAGACTTTGTTTATTCTTACAAGGTATGTATAGACACACGAGGACAGAAATGTGTATGTATTTCATGTGCTAAATGTCTGCACGTACATTTGATGCAGGCTGAGTTCTTTGGGGTATTCCCTGGGTGTGTGAGCCAACCAGTAATGACAGGTTATCTGAGATAAGGGGGGGGGGGGGTGGGTGGTCTGCATGTCCTGAGATAGGGGGTTCATTGCGCAGTGTTCCGGATTTAGGGGGTCTCCAAGGCAGGAGAAGCCCGCGAAAGCCCGCGAAAGGGGGGTCCAGACATGTTGGCAGTCTTCAGATAGGGGGCGCTTTCAAAGAGAGGGAACAAGCATTATGCGTACCTTAAATAACACTGAGTGTGTGTGTGGGGGGGGGGGGGGACAGTTAGCCTCAGTGTAGAATGCTGGGTGAAGTTCTTTGAGCTTGATATGATATCTTCTAGCAGTTGTGCACTGGGGAGAAAAGTGAAAGTATTCTGTTTTGTTTGAGTTAAGGAAAGAATTCATTTCATTGAATTGCAAAAATGTTTGTTTGACTCAATAAAATAGTCTATGAAGGGCTAAAACGTTTTTAAAAAATAATTATATTTCCAATAGTGCATTTCTGTATAGAATTCCGCATCTCCAGCTCTTTCCTTCGGTATACGTCTGATTAAGAATTTGTTCTAATCGATTTTTTTCAGGGTATTTTTGTTGTTTGATGTTGTAGATGTTCCTGTTAAAAGTCACTGGTATCCTTCTGCAAATGATAATAATAATCATATCACTAATAACAATGATAGTAAAACAAAAACAAGAAGAAAGAAACTGAAGAAACACGTTACATTAATTGGCCAATGATTGTTCTGATTTGTTTTATAATTATCATAGAGTATAATTGTTTTGTATTTTATCATACAATATTGTGTCCAAAATCACCCTAATTTACCCTGTTTCTAAGAAGAAAGACAGCAATTGGGAAGTTATCAGACATTCCCAATGTTGACAAAAAGCGAGACTGAGATAAAATAAAATGTAAATTATTGTCTTGAAGAACAGCATGAAGGCTGAGCCTCGTTTCGTTTGTACACGGGCAATCACCTTTTGATGTATGCCCTAAACTTTTAGTTAGCATACAGGTAGATAGTAGGAGTAAAAGCGGTACCTGAAACACTTTTTTGCCCAGTTTTCTTTTTTAATGACCGACTCTGACTACACCTCCCATATATCTTACTAATGACAAATTAGTGTAACATTTGTATGTGAATAAAATTCGATTATTTGTTCATTTGATTTTATTTCTGCATTTTCATCATAAAGTAACAAGTAATATAAAAACCAAGAAAATATAATATATCGACAAAAGTCAAAATATACAATAATCATATCATGATATAAATCATTTGAATAATTGTACTTTTAAAAAAACACATAGTTGAAAAATAGTATTTTCAAAAAATGCTAAAGACCGCCATTTTAAATGTATAAAATGGCATATACAAATATTATTTTTAGTCTTTTATCATTAAAACAAAATATATATATATATATCATTATTTATCTTTCGATCCCGAGATCCTTGACCTCATGTTTCAACAGAGTTAGGATCCACTCCATTTTCCGCAGTTTCCTTGGCAGCTTGAACTGACTGGCAGAAGCTGTCGAGTTCTCCAGCATGTAGTCCCTCAGGCCCGGGAAGGCCCGGCCATCGACAAAGATGATTCTGGGTAGCTGCAATTTGCCCGCCTGCCGCTGGTTGTCGTAGTAAGAGTCGTTCGCTCCGCGAAGATTCGCGTCAAATTCGCGCTCAAACTGAACAAAAAGAGAAAGGAACCTTAATCAATGTCATCCAATAAAATATCATGCAAGTTTGCTCATTACATTGTCCGTCAAAGTACATTCTTTGCAATAAATTTTACTTTCAACCGAGGCGAGGGTACTTTTTTCTTTTTGTATCAAAATTGATCGCTGTATAATGAATATTATCAAGACTTCCTATTTTCTTCCAAAATCTATAGAGTTTAGGATTTACTATTCTTAGGGAGGGGCCTGGAAGCCTGGAAATCTGTGACAGGCACAAATTGAATTCATCGATATATTATGTGTTCACGAAATTGTAAAAGTTAGAATAAACAAATCCGACAGCTAGTAGGAGTCATATTTTCTTCTATATTCAATGTGTATTTTCGCTATGTGAAGTCGGGGTTTGCACCACCGCCCCAAATCAGCCACTGGAAGCAAGCCTCGAAGGCATTACCTCGTCATGTTCCTTCACCGATGACAGCAATATGGTGTCTACTGGAATAGAAAGCTCGACGAAGATGACGTAATACAGAGAATTTGAAGTGGAGTTTTCACCTGAAAGGTAAAGATAGAAAGAAAAGACTTACATTTTTTTAAAATATGCTTTTTACATGAAATGACAGTCGTGCGAAAAGCTGTTTTAATTGAAAATATAGAACTCACAGATCTGTTAAAATGCTATGACTAAACATGATAAAACTTGTTTTCAATTAAGAATACAATACAAAAAGGAAACGTCAAATGCAAAAATGTTTGGCAATTACCAACATTGTGTCAATGATTTGGTCTACAAAACCTATAGAAAATAGAGCAAAGAACTATACTATATGGATACCTTTGCCTAAAGGACGAACACATATGATAGGGGAGGGTGGTGTCTGGACACTTCACAGCCTTCACATTTGCTTTTCGATACTGCGAAAAAATATCCATTAAATATCACTCACAATCATAAATATACCCTATTCGTAATTTATATTGTCCAACACTGATGAAGTTTTGCTTGCAATCTTTTTCAAATTACTGTTTAATATCAACTGCCCACATAACCAGCCTTTTCAGAGACACAACGTAGTCCTGCCTTTTCAACGAGTTTGAAGGCACACATCATTGATTTTCATTTTAAGTGAAAGAGTTTGGATTAAACCATTAAAAACAGAAGAAATATATAAAACAGAAATATGAAATAGAAATACCTGTTGCCTCTTCGTAAAGTGGGCTTTCAGCACAAGCGTATTGCACAATTTCCGCACCCTTCCATATCTTTACAGTGTCGTTGAGGGCAGTCGTTATCATCACCTCCGAGGTTTTCTCCGAGCAGAGATTCAGAAGTTCTCCGCGTCTGGATATTTATTGCACAAAAAAAAAAAAGGAAAATAGAAACATCACCGTGTTCTTCATTTAACTGACCAGGGGGTTGTTTCACAAAGACCAGGGACTTGATAGAGAAGGACTGGAATCAAGCCGGCGAAACTCTTGTAATTTATTCAACCCATTCGTGAGTTCTAAAGCGTAACAACGGGATGTGTAACATTCCACTTGGCTTTGAAGTTCCATGTTATAATGTCTCGTTATTTGATCAATGATTTACAATCTTTAATAACATTAAGTTTGCTAATGCGTGTTTTTGCGTGTTTTTTGGTATTTTCGAAGTTAAAAAAGGATGAAATTACAACAGTTTGTGTTTTGTTCTACTCTTTACACATTTAACAATGGATGGGAAATCATTGAAAGGGACAGCGAACAGTTGCTGTGATACCATTTTCTGATGTAGGAATTCTAAATCCTAAAATTCATGCGCTCTTTTATCTCACCACCTGGTCAGCAGTTGCAGATTAGCGCATAACTTTTCGGCGGCTTGGTGCATGGGGTCAAAGGAGAGCGGCTTGATTTCAGTTCTTCTCTATCACGGCCCTGCAAAGACTAAGATCAGCTTTAAGTTGGAATTACTATGGCAGACTATTCTTGCCATTGTTGCTCTCACCATTTTCTGGAATTGGTCTCTCAAAGGACATACAAATCATGATCACAAATCTAAAAAAATTACATTTGTTGATTATTCATTATTGAAGGAAAAAATATTATCTAAAGATCATAATAGTTAGAGCAAACAGTGGCATAAACGGCCTGCCATAGTTTAATCTAACTCAAATTCGATCTTAGCCTTTGTGAAACATTCCCCAGTTCTAACCTTTCTTAAACATGTACCTTCATCAAATCGAAATCATTTCCCATGATATTTAGGAAAAATGTATTGATCGCAGATGTTGTTGTTTTGTTGTGTTGTGTTGCTGTACTTCTTTCCATAATAAATTCTAATGAATTGTAAATATGTGCGATGAAGTTGGATGTGATTGAAAGGTAGGAGGGAATTTTTCGTCAAATAAGCATTTCATTCTTCAAAATCCAAAGACATTAAATCTCGATAAAATTGTATGTCCTTATATACATGTAGGCAAACAAACTCATTTTCGCCCCGAAGGATTGGCGGGGGGGGGGCGAGTTGGCTGAAGCCTCTTGCAAGCATTTAACGTTCCAGTTTCTCAAAGTTAATTAGAGTGACCATTATTCATACTTTACTGTAACAAGAACATCGAAGTCGGCATAAGAATACGCTAAACAAATGATAAGAATTACTGTAAGTATTTGAGCACCTCTATGCCCCGATCTTAGGTGAAGGTTGCCTGAATATTGGAACTTTCTAATTTCTCCGAGGCTTCAATGCTCAAGACACCCGATCCCCTCATGCACTTCTACAAACCTAGGATTCGTACCTATACTGGAATTGAAAGACGGGTGCTTTGTTGTAGAATCGAGTGATGAGGATGACGTCTCCCATTCTGTAGCGATACAGGCCATCTTTGTTGGTGATGACCACTTCATAGCATTCCCCCTTCTTTACATCTTCCATCAACACAGTTGCTGGACTGCTCTCGTTACTACATGATTTTATGATCAAACATTGATTGGAATTGAAGTGGAAAATGAAATGAAATTAAGTATTTATTGTAGATCCGGAATTATTAGTTTTAATTTACAAAGAGAAGGAATCATAACCGGAGACAATGACAGTAATGGTTGACAGTGACAATGCACACACATTTGTGGTACCATCACCCAGTCAATTTGAATATTAAATAGTTCAACCCCTTATAACAGGCAAAACATTGATATTTTTGTTGTATCATGAAAGAGGACATCATATTTTTTTCATTTTTTCCTATTTACACAACATGTTTGTTTGCTTGTGTACAAGGGTAGGAACATTGTTCACTTTCTAGTAAAATCTTGAAATAAGCAAAGCACTCGCCAGTGTATAGGCTTCTTTCAGATATGCTTACTTGCTTACTTGCTTGTTGCTTAAGTCGGGTCAACTGCCCCGGCTGTGATGGCCTTCCACACAATCCTGGCCAGCATGGCTCAGATATGACGCGGCTAAAACCACGGCACTATTTTATGTGATGACGTGAAGTGATCAAACAACACAACAGACGCATATGATCGCTTTGTAAACCGATTTTTATTGAATTGGCCATTGTTTTTAAAAACAGATATGCGAATTGAATAAATAAAAGAAGAAATGGACACTTACCAATTAGATATTGGGATGAACTCGTAGAAGAGCCCATCTGGTATACAGACGTATTCTGTTTGTCCATCGTCCGGAAACCCGATTGCATAACCAATCAATCCTTCAGTTGAGATGTAGTAGCGGGATAACATTTGAAGATCTTAAGAAGTTAAAAGGGGCAACGTTGACATTTAATTCATTGCAATGCAATTCAATTTAAATAAAAATTTAATACACATGAAAATTAAAATAATTTACATTATAGAAATCTTGTGAGAGAGTTAAAGATTTGGCATTCAAAAACCAATAACGGAATGAACGAAAAGTAAGTGTAAAACATCGAGAGAACAAAAATGTTGGAAAAAAGGATGGTAACCTATGATGTTTTTACAGGGGTAAACATGGAACGTCAGCCTGACGAAAAGAAAAAAGCTTGAGTTTGAATGAAGTCGCACAATTAAAAAAAACTTAGCTCACTATGTAACTAATATGATAACAACGACGGATAACAAGATAAACAAGACAATAGCAATAATTTGATATCCAAACGTTTTAAGGACTTTTTCTATTGTTCTGTAACTTTTGGCCGAGTAAAACTGAAGGTTATGTAATGATATGCCATTTTTTCGTGTGATTGATTCATTTTATACATCTGACAACGTATTATGAAATTGTGTTACGAATATTATAATGAATATAATAAAAAACATCGAACACTTAATACGATATTCCCTAAGATTCACTAAGTCAGGTAACGTATCCACTAGACCATGACACGAAAATAGCCACTACACAGGAGGCGACATGTCGATTTATTCGCTGCGCTCATAAAAAAAAGGTATTTTTTGAATTGTTTAATTCTACTTTCAATTTTGGTTCAACAGCCAGTGGCAGTCGTAGACGCAGTCTTATCCCATTGTCTACTGGAACCGAGTGTTCCCTGTATTGAGCCTATGGGAATTAGAGAATTCAGTAGTCATCGGGTTAAGTCAGCGAAGTGACGCACCATGTACCATGGACATAAGACCCTTACCTCCAGTGTACTTCTTGAGACGCTTGACGTAAGTCTGCATCGATCCCGATGTAGTCCCAGATATTGAAGGCATCCTGGGCCACAACCTTGACACGATGTTGTCAAACCCGATCCTGAACTGCATCTCCAGCTCGTCGGCTCGTTCAGGCATAGGTAGCAAGCGGGCGTTGATTTCTTTCCGATCTTTGTCAGAAAGAGCCGGGATGTCGTCCGAGACAGAACCTCTACGGATATCCTGGGCTAGCTTCTTCCAGGAGGCTTCCAGAAGACGAAAGAAGATGTAGAGAGATGATGCGAATGGTGCCCAGACAGCTGACAGGTTTTCATCACGCAGCGCAAAAAGGGCGTGTACATACATGGCGGTCGACTCGTCCATGATCTTGTAGCCGACCAAAGGAGTTGAGAAGATAATCTCCTTGATGCTATCAGGCATCATGAACGAGGTTACGGGTCCCTTTGGAATGCCGCCTTCGGACCTACCGATTGGCACACCCGTCAACAGGCAGCAAGACACTACGAGCGGTCCCGTTACTTCAATGCCCAATCTCGTCTGTAAATCCGTACTTACCGCAGCGGCACTACCGCTCAAGTCCGCTAGGTTTTCATTACTGACCGGAAATAGCTTCGCATTTCCAGTCGTTCCCGACGTCATACCTAGGAAGGCGGGATTAGTGTAAGACATCACTCCAACTTCACCGTCGGCTACACGCTTGATGTACTCCTGGTAATGGTCATACGATGTCAGGGGATGTTTCTTGATGAAGTCCTCAACACTGGAAATGCCTCTGAAGTTGAAGTCCTGACCGTAAACGGTGTCTTCACATCTTCGGATCTTCTTCAAAAGAAAATCAGCTTGGTACGTGCTGCAGTCTTTGGTGCTGCAGTCAAAAGATTCACAGTATTTTCGGGTTTTTGACTTACCAAGCCAGTATACAATGATATACTTTAGAACGAGGACGTGACCGGGCGTGAATTGGCAGCAGTCGAAACTTCCAATGTGGAGGAAGGCCAGACTTGACGCCATCAACACCGTCACTACCCACCCTAAAACAAATACAGGAGTGAGAGAGAGAGAGAGAGATTCAATTTAATAAACAAAAATATTGATATGGTACAGGCGACTATTTTTGTATTTGTATTTCAAGTGAACTAACAAAAATAAGAAAAGAAAGTATCCCCTTTTATCCATAATATTTGTGTTGCCATAAAACACCTATTACAATATGTTATCACTATCAAGATCGGCTGTGCGTTTGTGTTTGTGTTAGTGTTAGGGGGGGGGGGGGCTGGAGGGGTCATCCTTGACGGGCCTTTTCTTTATATTCTTCTTAGTTTACCCCTATTATCTGCGCCAAGTGTGCTGTAGATGATTTTGTTAAAGGGATCCGGTAACATTGTCTCAGATTCTGAAACAAAATCCTGGATTTAGCTCGTGCTGCTATGATAATTATAAACCTTTAGGTAAGTCAGGAACCCAATGAATTTTACAAGCCTATCGCATGTCTGATTATCAAGATATTTATGATTGGGTATCCTTCCATGTTTATGTTGATATTGTTATTTTAATACAATGTGTCAATACTTTGTTATATTTTTTCTTTTTTTAAAGATGGTAAATAAATTGAAATTGAAATTGAAATTGAAACCAAATTTTGTTTTTGCCTAACGGTTTTCATAACAGTCTATTGGGGAAAACGAGTATGGTTAAACCGGTCTTTGAAAGTTTTTTTTTTAAAGGCACTTCTTGATCAATTTAAAGCGCATTTTTTAAGGGTTTTAATATTACACCATATCACAAACACTGATAACACGTAGTGTCATACATCTCATATTTAACATTGTTCAACGATGCCTTCTTGTACAAGCTTTTAAAGCAGTATAAAAAATTAAAAGGCATAAAATGTTGATTCAAATCGTTTATATTTTCTATTATTAAGAAGATTTCATGTTATTGATGTGGAATTTATGAAAAGTCTTAAATTGTTGCTTTTGAATATATTTTATTTTAAGGCTACAAATGGCTCTCCATAATGTTTGAGTCCAACTTAGAGTCAAGTTCGACTTAGGATATTTGTGAAACACCCCCGAGAATGACAAAATTCAACACTACGATACCACATGTCTCTTCCGAAATATAATACAGAGATAAAAATGAATTTGTATTACTAGTAAAATACTTATTACAGCCTTTTTTCATCAAGATAAAGAAAAGGAAACGAAACACAATATGTTAATATAAATTTGTCAATGATTGTTCGCCTTCAGCCCCCCCCCCCCCCCCCCCCCCCGCACTCGATCTAAAAGCAATATATGATGTGTTGCACCTTGATTTGATATAAGTAGCATATCCAGAGGCTGAATACCTCGGTTTTATGCATTTATAAAACCACTAGCATTATTATCAAATTAGGTGAGGACAAGTTGCGCATGCTAATAATAATAATACTCGGTTCTTGTGTACAGTGCAATTTCCTTCCTATGTCTAAAAGCCTATATTTAGCTGTCCTGATGGAGGCGTAGAAGCTTCTATAGGAATTAATTCATATCGGTACCCGTTCAATTAACCTGGGTTTAGTGTGACGAATGTAAATATATTATCTTTTTAATTAGTTATTATTAAGTGATATAGCTGTAAAGAAAATATTAATTGAAGATTATATCTGAACAACGTCAATATAAACGGAAAAAACGATATACCTCTACTTAAAGATAAACTCCAGTACTAGTAAAAAATACAAATTAATTCTCACAGAATCAAACGAAACTTACACTGAATGTTCAAGATTACAAATAAATGACATGTGCCAAACAATTTTGGAAGAAAATGTATACTGGCTGAGTAATGAGCATAGAAAGACAAGGAAATCAAGGTAGTACTAGCCCCGACACCATGTGTGTTGTCCCATATATAGCTTTCTATGTGAGTGCTTGTTACTTTACCAACTAAGACTCGGTCAAATTTATTATGATTTTGATGACTCCAGAACCTTGCAGTGCACACCAATACTTACATGCTACATGATCAACTGTTTCTGATCCTTTCCACACCTTTTCTTCCACAATGCAATCGCATTACCAGTACTAAAGTTTATCTTTAAAGTAACTCGGTAACATTGTCTCAGATTCTGAAACAAAATCCTGGATTTAGCTCGTGCTGCTATGATAATTATAAACCTTTAGGTAAGTCAGGAACCCAATGAATTTTACAAGCCTATCGCATGTCTGATTATCAAGATATTTATGATTGGGTATCCTTCCATGTTTATGTTTATATTGTTATTTTAATACAATGTGTCAATACTTTGCTATATTTGTTCTTTTTTTAAACATGGAAAATAAATTGAAATTGAAATTGAAATTGAAACCAAATTTTGTTTTTGCCTAACGGTTCTCATAACAGTCTATTGGGGAAAACGAGTATGGTAAAACCGGTCTTTGAAAGAATTTTTTTTTGGAGGCACTTCTTGATCAATTTAAAGCGCATTTTTTAAGGGTTTTAATATTACATCCATATCACAGACACTGATAACACGTAGTGTCATACATCTCATATTTAACATTGTTCAACGATGCCTTCTTGTACAAGCTTTTAAAGCAGTGATGGATGAGTATTTGTTCCATATCAATTCGAGTCATTTTAACTCAATGAATCTGAGATCGCACTGAAATAAAACAGGGATCGACATATTGTGGTAAATAAACAAAGTCAAATGGGTAAAGTCCAGTTCAAGATATGACTCTCCAGATTTGTTCGGGTCACTGTTAGGCTACTAGCGGTCTAATCTGGCTTGTGTAAATAAATTCATGGCTTCTTTTGTTTGCTTTGGCATTGATCTGTTATACTTTGCTCTTGTATACTTAATGGTTGATAGTTTCTGCGCTCTATAGAATAGCGGTCCTTATGAATAACGGACCTTATGAATAGCGGACCTTATGAATAGCGGACCTTATGAATAGCGACATTGACCCCGTCTATAAATGTATTATTATTATTATTATTAAACATATTGCATACGTTTGCCAGATGAAGTTTTTTTCTCTCCAGATATTCAATCTTGTATACACGTTAAGTCTTGGTCTTATGACGGAAAATATGATTTAGGTATATTCGGTTTCAAAAGCGATTTCGGTATATTCGGTTTCAAATAGTGATTTTTTAATATAATTTGTTATATTATATAGGCTAATTTGTTATACAATTTAGGTATAACACTGACAGCCTGGGAGACCTTTGGTCTTGAGTGCTATCTGACAACTTTTAAAAATCATTTATTAACAAATAATGAATGAAATAATTTGATTTCATTATTTGTTATTATTATTATTTATCATTTTCGGTTGGGGGAGTGGGGGAGGTGATAAAGCCGATGGTCCCCGAAACAGACCGCCCAATAAACTGAAAGTCCACGAAACCATAAAATGCTGCGCAATTTGGTAGATGTTGAAAACGCTTTTGCCATTAGCTCATTATGAAGGGAATGCCCCCTATACAGTGCAGTCTACAAAATTCTGTTCTACCTCTTTTCATGAAAATTTTTTCACAATATATTTGTTAATTAGACATCTAGAAATCAAGAATAAATCAAATTTTAAAAACACTTCAGGATGATGTAAGAAAAACCTCTTCCAACTTTATGGACAACGGTGTATGTAGGGAATGTTTATCCTTTGCCTCTGTAACGATAAATGTCTCCTAAATTCATAATGTTTTACTTAAGAGAGAGATAGAGAGAGAGAGGTAAATATAGACTCACCTAGGGTAACGTAAACAACGAAGTGGTAATGATGTCCACCAAAAACCAAGAAAGACAGGAGTGCAATGCCCAGAGTAAAACTCCCAATCCCTGCCACTATAATCCTATTTTGATTTTTCATCTTTATCCTCGTAGCTTTCTCAGTTCTGGATGACTTGATTTGCAAATTTCCTCGGATATGACGCTGTTGTGATTTTGGTATATGTGATCTGCCAAGGGCCGTTTGCGGAAGACGGAATGCACTAGTCTAACAGTCTATGGACAAACCAGGGAGTTATCAATACAATCCCTATTTAAACAGGACGGCCAAGGTTTTAATTGCAGTGTGTCATTAAAACGGCATAGATTTAAACGGCACTGTCATCAATCGCAAAAAGCTCATCGTCTATATCGTCTCTATCGTCCTTCAGCACACGAACCGTCTCCTTATTGACGCAGGGCTAAGTCAGGGAATGACGTGGTATTTGCTGCGTCTTGTATATCAACGAAGCATCGTCAAAAAAGTGCATGCAAAAAAAAAATCAACCTACCGACCAATAAAAGGAAGGGGGAGAAGAATAATAAGAAGAGAACTAGATCTGCAATCGTATGAGAACAATAATTATGCATTGACGCCATGTTTATGCATGACAAACTAATAAGGGACAGTTTCAAATCAAAACATTCTAAATACAATTTGAATGAAAATGGGATTGTTATAGTTAATTTTAAACACTTTTTGAAAGAGATACATGCAGCCAATGAACTTACTGTCATTTTGAAACGATTTTATCATCTTTGGTAATAACAAACATAAAATGAGCTGTAAAGGGTACATGAGCATTTGTCTACATCAATAACCCACTTCTTGTAACGGCCAAAACCACTTCTTGCAATGGCCAAAATTAAACTGATTGAATCTTTGCGTAGCATAAAACGTACGACCATTCGGTACAACGGTCAGAAAAATCAGACTCTTACTTCCTGGCTCTATAGCTCCTAAGTAGATTAGACAACTAATTTATTTTCCCACATAAAGACATTTTCAAGCCCCCCCCCCCCTTTTTTTTTTTTTAGGGAAGTTCTAAATTGGTATTGTCTTTCAAATGCCGTTGGAATTTAACCTTTTCATTTTGTTTGGCCTGCAAATGGAATATATTACCTTTAAGAGTCGTATTCACCTAATGTTTCCACACACAGGCGTAGCCTGACTTGTTGAACAGCGCGGGGGTGAAGGGGAGGGGGGCATACAAAATGGCAGAGTCCTTCCAAACACTTTTAAGGGTAGGGTTGTGGCCTTGTTGCGTGAATTACATTACTTTCGTAAATACGTAAGTATTAAGACTGCTCTCCGTGAGGACCCTAAAATTATAGTTATTATTATAACAGTATTAAGATGTATATTTCTAAGCTCCTGGTCGAGATCGATGGCAAAATGTGGGTTAAACACACTCTTAAAAATACTGGGTAAACTTTTACCAATTTTTCTTTAAATAAGTTGAGTAATATATTGTCCAAATAGGGTCCAAACGTAAAATAATTACTTCCAAATTGGGCAAAATATAGGTTTTCCCGGCCAATTTCGCATTTTTTTCTCGATCCATTTGTTAAAGCATTTATTCAATCTAGCGCAAACACCATTTATCGGCTGAGATTGTCATTTTAAATTGCACTTCAGTCCTTCAATTAAGAGTATCGGACAAGGGATTTCGCACATTAATCATTCTAATTCATACCGACTAGTGCGTGTGCCAAGATTCATTCAAATTCATCAGCAATTGCCAATAGTTGATCTCGAACATTAACATTCGCGAATTGGCAGTCAATTTAGTAACATGTTTATTCAAATCATGATGGACGTCATTAGAGGGTAGAAATGTATCCTGATTAGTTTACGGGGTGCACGAAAATGTATCAATGGTTAAACCTTCGTGTACTGATAATGATATTTCCTATAATCATTTTCATTTCGTCCAATAAATTAGGGTGTACTTTTCTTTTTGTTTTTTAAACTTATTCAAATAGTGATGAAAGAAACTTTATCCAATAAAGTGTAGATTTGTGCGTGACTTCCCGCCCCTACACACACGCACCAATAAATATCCTTGAATTATACTGATATGCTCATTACCTAAATCTAAATTGTTGTAATGATAATAATAATAATAAAACGGTGCTTATAAAGCGCTATCCACCAAAGTCTCTAAGCACTATCTTCATAATACGTTTAAAATCTAAGCATATTTGTAAAACTCCAGACATATATACAGCTGTAATCATTATATATAAAAATATACACACTTGATTTTTGTAACAAGAGCATCTTTTGAAAAATTGGACTAAATTGAATGAAAGCTTGAAAAATAACGTGTATAAAACAAGAATTTGAATAAGACAAGTGTTTATTCGACTGACTAAAATGCGACTTTGAATGCAACGATCATGAATTTTGAACTATCGAATAAAAAGTTAGGGCTCCACTGTGATAAGTTAAATGAACGCAACATGAATTGGATTCGCAAAGTGGCGAAATTGGCAGGGAAAACCTATACCAAATTGGGTAAAAACAAATATGCCCACATTTTGTTTGATATACATAATTACACTCGCAGCGAAATTTTACCTGGTATTTCAAAGAGTGCACCTTATTCTACATGTAGATTGTAAATAGTAATAGACGATCCAACGCATGAAATCTATAAGAATCGAGAGTCCCCCTACAGACTAATTTGTCTAGTATATAGCAGTGTTCCAATGAAATATCCATGAAAAACGGCTGACTTGTATGCATACCATAATGTTGAATGAAAATAATGCAAACACACCAAGACCTTTTGACTACAACAATAAAATAAAACAAATCAAAATAAAGAAGAAAAAGAACCGACAAAACAAATCGTTAGGCACCTAGGATTAATTATTTACATTTTTTGCGCGCCTTTATTTATGCCTTGACAACTTCAATATAGATAATTATTTGGTTAGTTATAACAATCTATAACTTTAAAAATTGTTTCTCTCTCTTTTTGGGGGCGGGGGGAGGGGGAGGGGAAAATGTGCTACAGTGTTTTTTTGTGAAAATATTTTACCGCTTACATCTCGACATTTTCTTCATATCTAAAAGAGTTGTAAGAGTAACGTTTGCATGAGCATTGGTCATTGAAATAACTCAGTGAACAAATTTAGTAAACATTCGGAAATCGTAATTATCAGTAAAACTAAGAATACTTCATTTCAAGTTTATAGTAATGTGTTACCTTTAGGGCTCTCTTTGCTGATTCGTGCTGTTGCGTTGTTACTGCCGTTCCTTTCTGCTGTAATTGCTGCTTTTGTTCCCCTCATCGCACCTCCTTTGCTCTTTTCGTTCTCATTGCTTGCCTCATTGTCGGCTTGAGGAGAAACAGGAGCCGATGTCGTTGCTTTGTTCATATTTGTTGATGCTTCAACGGCGATCGCCAGTTCCATCTTCCTTCGTTCCTTGTAGAAACGGCGGATGCCGAAGTAGATTCTGACACAGCAAGTGGTAGTTATGATTATAGGAATCATCACGAAAAGCACTATGACGAAACAACCAGCAACGAAACTTTGATATCCGGGAAAAGTCGCTCATCGATACCGTGAATTACTTGCCAAAGGCCCGTCAAGGGGAGCCAGATGATGACGGGAATGATGTAGCCTACGGCGATGATCAGGATCGCTCGAGAGCGTCGTCGCCAAGTCAGACGATGACGGATAGGATAAGACACAGCGATGCAGCGGTCGATGCTTATCAGGGCGACGAGGATGATGCTGACATGGGAGAAAGCATGGTCCATGAAGGAGAACATATCACAAAAGATCACCCCGAGCGGCCAGCGTCCCAAAATGATGACCATAGCGAAGAGTGGCATGTTAACCACTGCGACCAAAAGGTCCGCAATTGCCAGAGCCAATATGAAATAGTTGTTGTAAGTACGCAGTTTCGGCATCGTAACAAATGCAACGACCACTAACAGATTCCCGACCATGGTAACAAGAATGAGGACCCGATGAAGACCGACAAAACAATGACGACATGGGTAGATAAGTGACTGATCGGGACGATATCGAGAATGATTTCAGTAAATGAAATCCATGTAGTGGAATCACTCAGAAGATCGGTTGTTTGCGTTGTTTCTTCCATTTTGGACTTGGTCGAACCAGGTGATTACTGACGATTTCCCACTGATTATGCCAACCCTGCCTGGCCACAGACCTACAGTAAAAACAAGTACCGAATGGTACAGAACAAGGTGTTAGAGCTAACAAAAATCGATTACATATATTATTCCTTATGCTTACTTATATATCAGAAAATCTTCAATTTCAATGGTCATCTTAATTCACAAGGTCAGAGGGTGCGAAAAAGAAGGGATGCCTTTGGCGTCCCCGCCCTCCGATGCCCCAACTGAGTATTTATACAGACAGGTTTCTCCAACAATCTACCAGTCTCCTTCAGTCTGTTAAAACCCCCTCCCCGCTTTCTCTTTCCCTATCTCACCCCTCTATTCCTCTCGTGTTCATATATCTCGTATTACATGTATATCTCATTATTTCTCTCTTTCACACAAACACTATCTCTCCCGCACAAGACACCTATGATTTTGAAGTTCATGATTCTATCCTTGTGTCTGAATTCCTTGCCCAAAAAAATGTATGAAACAATGATGAAATACAAGAGGGTTATAAATTATGTCGGAGCGACAAGATCAGCGACTGGATTTCTTTGCTCGTACTAGTCAGTTGACCTCTTCATGGCTACAAGATCTGCTCCCTCCCTTATGAAGTGATATCTTCACTTGTCGCCTTCGGTTTCTACGTCTTCACAGTTCCCCTTCCTTTCAGACTACCCAGTATTACTCCTCGACAACCACCAGTGTTGTTCGACTGCCCATTGAATTCGCGACGTCTCTTGAATATATCCGCATTTAATCTTTGAATGTATTCGAGCAACGAACAAGACAAAAAAAAATGATGTCATTGCTTTATTATGTTGATTCCTTCTCCAATGTGCAGTATCTTTATATGTGCACATAATAATCTATTGATATGAAATAGCCTACTTACTCTATAACGTTTGTCGTCATTCATTTTTATCATTTTTAATTTATTATCATTGTATAATAAACATTAAAGTTTTCTCCACTCTGTATTAGGCCTATTTGAAGTAAGATTCATTTGTAGTAATATGGTAATTTCCTAGTTTCTGTTTAACTCAAAACAATTTCAATTCTATATTAACAACGAAACCTGTATCTTGTATATACATATAATACTTGTCGAGTTTTAAACATATTTCAATGTATTATTAACGTATATTCCTGCAAGGTACTTTTCAACTCGTAAATTGAACAATTTCAGCTTTTAGCTACATGTTCGATGATGTTAATCTCAATAAACAAATATAAAATAAAGGCTATTAGATGTCAAATCGACTTAGGATTTACAGAGCCAATAACTAATAGTCTTGATTTTCAGACCATTGTACCCAGGCGCGTACTTTGGTATTTTTATGTGTGTAAACCCCCTAAACCCCCCTAACCCCCCCCCCCTTTGGGTTTTTTTTTTATTTATAAAAGAATAATAATAATAAAAATATGCCCATGGCCGACCTAAAAAAGGTGACCTTACCCTCCCCCCCCCCCCCCCAACGAAGAAAAATGTCATTTTTTTCAAATTTTGAGCCTAAAAAAAAGTGTCCTGTGACGCGGTCAATACTCCCTCCAAGCAGGTGCCCGCCAGCTCTACAAACGTGATGAGAAGACAGTGTTATAAATGTTAGTGCTGTTCAAAAACTGCCCGAGAGGTGAATAAGGAAATACAGCTTTCTAAGAAACGAATTAGTTTAACTGAAGAAATATCATTTCAATTTCCTTTTAGTGATTGTTTCTTTTATAAATCATAACGTGTTTTCTGTGCCGAGATCAAATAACCCCTAGCTAGTAGCTACTGGTATGCCCGCCTAGATGGAAAGTTATATTAGACGTACATTTAGCGGGCGATATTGATTGACAATGATTGACAATGAATCTATAGATTTACTTAATAACACAAATGTTGCTTTTTGAAGATTCAGTGAAATAAATAAATACATAAAAAAATACCTCCTTTTTTCAACAAAGGAATAATTTTGGCGATTTTCACAGAGATAGCGACTTAAACATGTAATAACAACATATTAAATATGTATGAACTAGGGGATCTGTTATAAACAGAATTTAAGGCTAACGTTATTAACATCACCGTAGCCAGAACTTTTCTTAATACAATGTACATGTGTATGCCTATATAGATTTGAAATGATATCTATAATTAAGTGTTCATTTCTCGTACTAAATAATATAGAGGTGGGAATGGCTGGGTCAAGAAACTCTGAAAATTATTATTATGTGGACAAACGTTACTGGTAAGGTTATCCCCTATTTAGGAAAATTGGGTATTAAACATATGAACAATGTTGCCAGGCTCATCAAGGATTTCATCTTTAAATTTAAGTTTAGTTATATCAGTTTATATATTTACTGATTTCATTTAATGGACTTTGGTTCTGCCAAAAAGGCCACTTCCGCAATGCAATCTAACCCAACGCACAAATCCCTGCCAAATACCCCGCTCCAAACCACATTACTTAGCCGTCACGAACCGCATAAATTTCATGTTGCTGGGTAGGGCATTCCATAATGATTGACCACCTTGTACAACCAACGCACGCAACACGACGCACCGACCATCGAAACACATCGATCCGCAGCAAGTGAATGAAACAACCGGCAACGATCGAGACAGGCGCGGATCCACGATTTCTAAGGGGTGGTGTTTTTTCTTTTTGCTCCCGAAAATTTGAATCTGACGCCGAAATCGTGCGCGGGGGAGGGGGGGGGGCGTCAGAACTCAAGTCACCCTCACTCCAGGGAGCTCCAAAAAGTAGTAATTAAGATGTAGACTTACAATGTTTTTCGACTGCTCTGGGCGTCCGGTCTAACTCTTGAAATTATAATTTAAAGATGTTGCCAATTCAAGTTTAACCGATGACCACTTCAAAAATGTAAAACATTCCTATTTTTAAACGGATATTGCTCAAACTTTCAAAACTTTTTTTCCAGCTTTTATCAAAGCCAACTCAATAATATCGTTTTGCGATTGTCACGTTCTCCACCCTCTCCACTGTGAAGTAAAGGACTAAACACTACGTATTATTAAAATTCAAAGGGTCAATATTAAAGTCCATCATTATTGAAGCCAAATCTATATGTTGCAGTTGAGTATTTTACAAGAGGGACATTCTATGCTCCGTACGCTTGTCTTGGGATCCAACTTACAATTCGCTGTATTCTTAAATCGTAATATCTTCATGCAGAACAAGTGAGTATAGATGTGTATAGGTATATATTGTTGGTCCAATATAGGTTGTATATATCAAACAAATATACCAGGCACTGAAGGCTCTAGTTGAAATTATGGATCGAGGTGGCAGAACTGTCGCCGAGGAACCAATAATTTCACTAGTGGCTTGACATTGTGCATGGTATATTTGCTTTATATATTTCAAACCAACCTTCATAAAAAACAATGATAATAAAAATAATAATAATAGTTTCTGTCTCTAGAATCCACACATTCAAGACCGAAAGCAGGCTCTATACAAGTATTGCAGTAGTGTAGTGCAATTACTGCGGATCAGCGTACATTGCACAGCGTGAGCGCCGTGACACCGCGGGAGTTGGCCGCTTGAGGCATTTGAAATCTCGTACGCTCGCTTAATGCATGCACAGTGCCTTGGAAAGTAATATTTATGTCATCATCCACGGTGTATATTGCACTAGACCATGGATGACGTCACATGATGTTATGTTGACCAATCACTAAACAGGATTTCATTTATCGAAAATACAAAAATACAAAAAAATATAAACACACACGAACAAATATGGCAAATTTTGTCTCTGTCATAAAGCGTATATGCAATCATTTTGAGAAAATGGTCGCATTTCGTCTTTCTGTATGCCACAGAGCGTGTACATGACTATATAGACATTGTATTACTGTTTTCTCTCAAACTTTGGTGAGATTTCTTTTACATTTAATCTTTGGGGGTATTAGGTAATATGAAAATAAAAGATACGTCTTGTTCAAGTTCAATGCATGTCTTAGCGAGAAAAAGCTCCCATCATACTATGGGGGTCTTCGAAGCCCTAGTAATACAGATTTGCATGAGCTTCTAAAACAAGGTTTCTGCTTGTGGGCTTACCATGTCCTTGTAGGACACAATAGGCCTACTTGATGTTCTAAATTTGACAGGTCCACACGGCTTTCAGTGTGTGCAAAATTAGTGTGACCGTGTGAACATGTCATACTTATTCATGATACCATATTGCACCCTAAGGATAGATCCGAATGGTACTGTTAATAGAATTCGGGAATAAGTAAACAATTAGAATCTAAAATTGTACATTGTGAAACTCGCGAACATAATACGCTGACTAACACAGTGAAAAAAATTGGTTTGTCCTAATCAACTAGCCATTACTTGACTGCAAATAACCAATGGACCTTATTATTGATTTTATGACGTTAATACAAATAACCTCTGAACCCGAAGCTTTGATAAACAAGGACAACACATTTTTTTTTTTTTTTAATATAGAAGAACAAAAACGCAAACCTTGCGTGATACACATCTTCGCATGACAAACATACTCGTTTGATACATGCACGTACAGTACGTCCAATATCTGCGTGAAATGCTCACTTACTGTTTTGAAATGTTCCACCTTACTGTTTGAGACCCATGGACGTCAATCCTTACGTAATACATATTGTTAGGGGGGGGGGGGTGAATGAATAGATCATCCCCCCTGAACAATAGGTATTACGTAAGGATTGACGCCCATGCTAAGACCTATTCACAGTTATGTTTAGTTTGTGTCAGTAACACATTCGGCACATTATTTGATTCAAAATCATCAATGTTTATGATTTTGTGCTGAGCAATTTCATCGTTTCGGCGGACCCTGGATTATGAACTCTACACCCGTAAACCTGGCCTAATAATTTAGAGGGGTGCTTTAGAGAATACGGGACATTGTTCCCTCCATTGGTGGCTGAAGGATAAATTAATAAGTGAAGGGTTGACAATTGAACTGTTAGGCCTGCTGATTATCTTCCTTCATTTCAATATTCAGCTACAGACTATGTCTCCTCAAATCGTGCTGATGACTGGCTGCTCATCGGGTATAGGTCTAGCTACAGCCAAACTTCTTGCTCTCGACACCGATCAGCGATACATCGTCATCGCTACCGTCATTGAGATGTCGGCAAAGACTGACCTGGAGGCCGCCGTTAAGGGCGCTCTTGACAGAACTGTTTTCATCGAGAAGATGGACGTCACGAACGATGAGGAAATTGGTACGGTAGTGGATGGCACCCTCAGAAAGTATGGCAGAATCGACGTACTCCGTAAGTATATCCGAGATTGTCAGGTTTATATTAAATGAAACGTCAATTAGCGTTTTCTGTGTCCCGAGTGGTGACTAAACATTATTTTACTCTGGCATTTTCTTACTTTTTTCCAAATAAAGGAGTTAACGGGGTTCCACACTAATCGAGGCAATTTAACTTGAATTCGGAAAACTTGCATAAAAGCAGTAAATATGTTGATCTTTTGTATCTCCCCATTTTCTCCTTCTGTCCATCCCTGCCCTCTACGGCTACATTTGAGAGATTTGCTCGCTATTAATTTTATAAGGTCCGCTATTCGTAATATGGAACGCTATTCATGTGGTCGCGCGTTATGGATAGTGGTCCTTATGAATAAGCGAGTTCGTAATTAGGATTTGCGCATGGGCAGATAAAGGTCATTCGTACCCAAATTGTAAAACCATTGAGACGAATACTCGGAGTGCTCATGAAAGTTATGTAATCAGTATTCATTTATGCACCAACAGTACATTTATCTGATACACAGGTGGAAGTATTCTTCTCAAGAAGCAAACAAAAGGTATTCATGAAACACCTCCATCACTTTGGCAGTGATTATTCTTAAATGCACAGGTGGAAAATATCCATCGTGTCTAAAGTGACTCTCACACTCTGCCGTGTAGGCCTACCGTGTGCCACCGTGCGCGAAAATGTCTGCGGACGGTGGAGAACGGCGAGGGCACACGGTGGTTCGTTATCAAAGCGGGCAACACGTTAATTGGGCGTTGGCGCTTATTTACACCCGGTGGGACCCGGCGAAAGTTTTGGGCATGTTCAAAACTTTGGCCGGCTGGCACCGGCCGCAAGTAAGCGGCAAGAGGACGGTGTTGAACGGTATGAGGACGGTATGAATACGTTATGAAAACGGTCACACTGTATGAACACGTTCACAACACGCTCATAACCCGTTACAGAACGGTGATGAACGGGCAAAAAAAAACCACCGTATGCAACGGGTTGTCAGCGGGTTGTGAACGTGTCATGAACGTCAGCAGTCCGGGGACTCGCTCACAGGACGCTCCGAGCGGTGAGGGGACGCTAAGTGACTGGTAGGTGGCTGCTACAAACCCGGTGCACACGTTCGAGACCCGGTATGGGCCCGGTATGGAAACGGCCAACATTTTCAACAAAAGTCAATCTGGGCGGTGAAGACGGTAGAAGCACGTTCAACACCCGGTATGCGCCCGGTGAGAACGGTCAGAAGATGGCAACGAAACGGTGAAAAGATTAATTTTATGATTTTTTTTTTTTTTTTTGCGGCCGGGGACAAGTTCGCTCAAAACCCAACGTTCTAGACTCTGTTTTTTTTTTTTTTTTTAATAGCCCGGCAGGTGGACGGTAGGCCTACACGGCAGAGTGTGAGAGCTCCATTAGATCTGTGGATATTTTGGGGGCATGCGTTCTAGAGCTATTTACTAACTCACTTATTATCATCCTTATGAATAGCGGTCCTTAGAGATATCGAGTTTGACCCTCATTTGATGCCATGAAGATAGGTTTTAACGTGATTTACTTCTTTTAATCAATATGTAATTATATACGTGAAAGTCCAAGTTATGACCCAAATATTATTCTAAATCAATAATGAATTGTATTACAGAATTGAGAGAATAGTTTGACGTAAGATAAATATACACTTTGGGATTTGCAAGCTCAAATTTAAATAATCTATTATAGGAATTGAGAATCATTCAGATGTGCTCATTTATACTGCAATTTTATCGTATAATTTGTTTTTTTATGATTATTTATGTCCATATTTTCTGTAAAATGTGGAACAATAACAAACTTGAAAACTTGAAGCTTGAAACTGGATAGTTTGTTTGTTTGTTTTATTTTATTCACCATGTAATATAACTGTTTACAGATAATAGAATACAGTGGGTTACATTGATATATAATACATAGTAGGAACAATGCATAAACAAAAATGTTTGAAGCGCAACGTCCCTTAATAACATAGTTGATAATTATTAGGTAAAAATAGAGCAATACTTAAAATAAGACATTCGTTACAAACATAAAACAAAATACAAAAATAATGCCCCTTAACGTATTTGAATAACAAGCAAAAACAATAAAATACACATTACCTCTTCTTGACATAACTAGCACTAATATACTTGTACCTCAAAAGTTAACAATTATATTTTAAGAGAAATAATGCCTTCATTTTCTTTTTAAACAACATAATGGTTTTACAAGCTCGTATTTCAGGTGGCAAAGGGTTCCAAATGTCAGGACCTACATATCTAATTGATCTTTGGGCTAAGGCGCTCCATGGTGTAAACAAATGGAAATCAGAAGAATGTCTGGTTGGGTAGTTGTGAATGTCTCTATTTAGAGTAAAATCGTTACAAAATGATAAAGGCAGTTCTTTTTTATTCAGTCGGTACATGAACACTAGTGCAATTTGCATAAGATGAATATCAGTAACCTTCAGAGTTCTTAATTTGAAAAATAATGGGTCAGTATGATCAAAGTACCCAGAGCCACAACAAAGTCTCATGGCTCTCTTTTGCAATCTAAAGATACCATCAGTATTTAATCTATTAATAGCCCATACAATGTTACAGTAATAAATACGTGAATGAATGAAAGAATTGTAAATAATGAACAAAATACTAGGTGGAACAAAAGGCTTTAACTTGTAAATAACACCAATATAACGAGACAAAACTCGAGAAAGTACGTGTTCATGCCAAGACAGGCACTCATCAATATAAATGCCTGGGAATTTTGTTTGTTTTCTTTTGTTGAATGGAGATGCTATCTATCTTTAATGAAACATTAGTTTCTTCAGTATGAGCACGAGTTTTAAAGTGAATGAAGTTAGTTTTACCCAAATTCAACGATAATATATTACATTTAAATCAGTTAGATAATTTTGGCAATTCAGTATTTAGTGTTTGAACAAGACTCTATAGGTTGGAATTAGAGCAAAAAAATATTAGCGTCATCAGCAAATAATATATATTGTAGTAAGGAAGAGACATTAGAAATATCATTAACCTAAATCAAAAAAAGAAGCGGACCTAAAATAGAGCCCTTGGGCACACCATACCTAACTGATGACATGGTCGATTTGGCATTATTAAATATTGTATATTGACTTCTACAAGAAAGGTAACTACGAAACCAATTTAAAGGTATACCACGTATCCCGTAATGGTAGAGCTTGTGTAGAAGTATGTCATGATCTAGGGTATCAAATGCCTTACTAAAATCCATGAAAACCCCTATAACATGCTCGTGTTTGGCTAAGGCAGATGATACCCTATCATATAATTTAATAATAGCAAATTCTGTTGAATGAAATTTCCTGAATCCATAATGATCATTATTAAGTAAACTGTTGTCAGTCAAAAATGTAAATAGTCTATCATAAACGAGTCGTTCTAATATTCTAGAAAAACATGACAGTATTGAGATAGGCCGATAATTACTGAATGAACTAGTATCGTCCTTCTTATAGATGGGTATTACTTTCGAAATTTTCATCATAGAAGGAAAACTACCAGAGAACAATGACAGGTTGATTATGTAAACGAGGGGCTTAATTATACTTACAATTATAATTTTTTTAGCAAATGTGTATTCATCTTATCTTGTCCAGTTGAATGCATGGACTTGAGTGATGCAACAATCTTTATTACATCAACTGGATTTGTAGGGTTAAAGAAAATACTATTTACAGAAGAATCAAAAAGAGAATCACGAAAACTATTGCTACATCCTTTGATTTTCGAAGCCTGTTCAGCACCTATGTTTGAAAAATAATTATTAAAACAATTTGCAATTTCATGTGGGTCCATTACAGTAATACCATCATGTCTAAACACAGTTGAATGAGAAACATTCCTCCTTTTCGGAATACCATTTATTATCTTCCACTTGGAGTAAGAATCCTTTGCCTGTTCAAACTGTTTGGTGTAATACATTCTTTTTTGATATACGAATAATATGTGTTAGCTTATTTCTATATTGCCTATATTCCTGCTTCTTTCTATCTGAAGGGGTAAAAAGGCTTTTTTCATGTAACTTATTTCTTTGGTTGATAGATCTCAGAATTCCTCTGGTAATCCAAAGATGTTTGGGTGAATTTCTGCGAGATTTAATTTGGACTTTTGGAATATTTATATTCAAATAGTTTGTTAATGTTTCTAAAAACCTCTGATATGCAAAATCAATTACATTGCATTTTAAGACATCATTCCACGTTTCCTCTGTTAATTTACGAACTTCAACTATTTTCATTTTAGTTTTAGTTTTTAGTACAATTGGAAAGAAGCAGGCGATCTGAAATTTCAGAATGAGCCCTGCTTCAATGTTATTATCAGAAACATTGGTAAATATATTATCAATCAGAGTATTATTATTCATATCTATTCTTGTTGGTTTTGTAATATTAGAAAACATAGCATGAACATTTAACAGTGTATTTAAATCAGCACTAATATCGTTGTCACAGAGCAAGTCAATGTTGGAGTCCGCCATGAAATATACATTTGTATTTTCTAGATTTAGTTTGTGAAGGAGGTTATCGAAATCATCCAAAAAGACTTACTTGTCATTATTTGGAGGTCTATATACGATACAGATTACATTGTGTTTTTCCAGGAAGACAGGTAATAGTTTTAATAGAGAGCAACTAAGCACGCCTATGATGGAAAGAGAGGTCAGAGCGAAGTTTAAAAGATAAAGCATTGTTGATATAGAAAACAACCCCTCCTCCTCTACCCTCTCATCTATCAGAGCGTATCAGGAAATAATTTGGAATGTCGTACAAAGGAGGTAAATTACTATGTAACCATGTTTCACTGATAACTACAACAGAAAAGAAACATTACAGAGAATCCAAGAGCAGCTGTACTTTGTCGAAATTATTTGCAAGACTGCGAGCATTCATATGCAAATAAATGTGCGATTGACCTTTGTTCGGAAATTTTGTCTTGAACTCAGCTGGAAGATAATATTCACATCTTACATTTGGACATGACTATTGGGACTAATATCATCCGCCATCGATAAATCCACCCATCTCTGAATAACACTTACTGAGGTACAAATGTTGTTGAATAAATACAGTCATTTGAGGTACATGAAAACAGAAAAATGCTACGGGGCAATTTAATAAAATAAGAATACAAACAATTGTTTCTGACCAAATGTCTTGGGCATACATGTATAGAGGCATTCGAACAGAACATGAGGTATTTGCCATACCCCAAAATATTAGAGTTGAAATTATAAACATTTGAGTATAATGAAATACTATCTCTTAAATGTTATCAGCAATATATACATGTAAAAGGATTGACTTTAAACAAAACAGTGCATGGTGGTCAGCTCCCTACCTTGAACATTCATGTATAAATAGAGAGAAAAAAAATCAGCTGAGGCATTATCTCACGCATACAAATATATAGGATATGCATGTTGAATTAAGGGATTACACTGAACCATATCATCTAAACTCTACAGTATAAGAAAGTAAGACTGTTTTTACATTTCTCTTAGAGACATGAAAGAATCGTTTCACCCACTTGCATTATTAAGTAGCCTAATACGAGAAAATATAACCGTTACAACATTTCCTTCTGAAAAAAAAACTCCAAAGAAATCACATCATCAAAATAAACTTTTAGCACAATATAATATGAGAAGGTAACACTGCTTCACAATTTCTTCAGAAGGCTAAGAGAATCCCATCATCAACTTTGCATTGTTAAATAGCATAGTATAATATGAGAAGGTATAACCATTTATCCATTTTTTCTGGAAAAAACAAGCCCCAAAAGATTAAGAGATTAAAGAGATCACATCATCAAATTTGTAGTACAATACGATATGAGAAATCACAACTTTTCCTACACTTCAACATTTCTTCTTAGAAGAGAAGGAGATTGCATCATTTAACTGGTAGCATAATATAATATGAGTAGGTAAGACTGCTTCTCAATTTCTTCAGAAATTCCTCAGAAGACTAACAAAATCACATCATCAACTTTGCATTGTTAAATAGCATAATATAATAAGAGAAAGTAAAAACTGTTTATCCATTTCTTCTGGAAAAAACAAAAAATAGGAGATTAAAAAGATAACATCACTTGTAGGATAATACGATAGGAGAAGGCAAAACTGTTTCTCCAATCTCTATTTCAACATTTCCTCTGAAAAAATAAAGAGATCATATCATTACAAAAAACAAATTGATGGTACTGTATAATACAAGAAGGTAAGACTGTTTCTTCATTTCGTCAGAATACCAAAATAATCACAGCATCAACTTTGCATTCGTATTAGTAGCATATGAGAAAGTAAAACTATTTTTATCCATAACTTCTGGAAAAAAAAAAAGGGGATTAAAGAGATCATATTTCTAGACCTGCGACACAATATGACATGAGAAAACAAAACTGTTTCTCTTTCTCTCTTGAGAAAGATTAAGAGATCACAACATCAACCTTTGAAGTCATTATAGTGTACTGTATAGCGTACGAGCGATATGATATGAAAAGTAATCCTATTACAATTTCTCCACTCTGTCATGAAGAAAAAGAAACCAAAAATCACACCAGATCACATCGTCAATAGTTGATTCTTACTATTTGATTAATCTAGAACTGTTTCCAATTACTGTTTCCCAACATATCTTTTGGGGGATGGGTTATCAATGAACTTTAAGTGAGGACAGTAGTCCCCCATAATTTTTGTTTAATTTTCAGTAAACGTAGCTGGGATAGTTATGTCCGGAATTCCCGAATACGTCACGCGGGAACGTATGGAGCAGATCTTCAACGTGAATGTTTTCGGGGTAATACGACTCACTCAAGCCGTTTTACCTCTTATGAAAACGACGAAAACTGGAAAAATAATAATAGTTTCGAGTGCATGGGGAAAAATGGGTAAAGTAAACTCCATTTGCTTTATGAATTTTAACACACACTCTGTATACAATTCTCCCTTCTCTCTCTCTCTCTCTCTCTCTCTCTCTCTATCTTACATTTAAATTCAACATTTTGTTGTTGATGTTGTTGTAATTTCTATCAAAGTGTTTACCAGATAACGTATTTTTGCCACGTGGACCTAACCTGAGAATGTGAAGTTCATTTAATCAAATTGCAATGTACTGTATAGGCATGTGAATGTGTATATCATAAGAAAATTTATTGAAACCAACAAACAATCAGAACAACAACAGCAACCTTACGGTTCAGATCGTATTGATTTTGACCCCTCTCTACCTGTTTTAGCTTCGCCATATGCGGAGGTCTACTGCTCTACTAAATTTGCAGTTGAGGGATATTTCGAGGGTCTAGCGGCAGCGTTACGTTCATTTAATATCAGGTGAGGGTTGTGTAATTTATTCACAGATTAATAATACTGGGAAGAAAGGTTTCATTTCTGAAGTGATAGCTTTAAAAAAGGGTATGCAATGAATTTGTAATGAATGCACTATTATATAAATATTCCATGTATAACAAAGGTTTTAAGTGTTTCATGAGCAAGCTTAATGTGAACCGGTTTTAAAAGATCGTCATGGAGCAAATCAAGATTGGAAATTGGTAATGTTGCAAAGCCATTTTATTGCGCACCTTTAATCCTTCTGTCAATTGGTACCCGTTGTTTTGTGCAGAACTGCTCGTGTGGCAAACACGTTTCTGTGTAGAGAGGCGGAGAACTGTAAGGATTACTTTCTTAGCAGAAGAGGAAAATTCAAATTCAATACAAATTTTGATGGAAGTAGAAGAAGTCATAACAAGTCAAGATTGTTCAATGATTTGAAAAACTAAGAAAATCACTAGGCAGATTGACTAGTCCATTTCAGAATATTACATAGTTAACACTTTTCTCCTGTAGAAATCATTAAAAATATGATTTGTAATATGATATGCATAACAAATAACAGATTATGAATATTTTGGTTTGTGATATTTCAAAATTAATCTCAATATTAAAGTTTGAAGGTACTAGCATGTGTTGTGAACGCTAAGTTATGAGAAATCATTATTCTTTGAAAAAATTGACAATTTATATTATCAATGAAATATTTAAATAATTGGTGGGTTGTAAAAGAACGATGTCATAAACTTATGATGGAGTAGTGATTGTCATGAATTCGTCTTTTTTTCTTCATAATAATTGTAGTCCGAATTTCCTACAACTTTTCATTCTTCTTTAACTTCCAAGGATTTACCTTTTGTTCTAGGGTTTGTCTGGTAGAGCCCGGTAAAGTAAGCACCGGCTTCGTTGACCAATTCCACGTCGGACTTGTCTCAGGAGCCCAAGACGACACCGTATACGACATCGATCGTCGTCAACTCCGTCATCTGAATGACCACGTAAAGGCAGCGCCGGGTGTCACGCCCGACGCGGTCGCCGACGCGATAAAGACACGGTGTCTGGACGTCGACGAGCCCGTTCTCAGACATCTTCTACCCGTTGAAGTTCGTGATGCAGTCCCAGCCGTGGCAGCCAACATTACCGGCGAGACCGTCATCGGCATCTTGAGGAAGTCTATTGGAAATTAAGTTTAAATGGATCCGGTAACTTTGTCTTAGATCATTTAAACGAATCCTTGAATTAGCTCATGCTGCAATGGTAATTACAAACCTTGAGATCAGTCAGGAACCCCATGACTGATTATCAAGATATTTATGATTGAAAATCGAAATCAAATTTTGCTTTTGCCAAAGGGTTTTCTCAACACTATAGTCTATTAGGAAAAACGAGTATGGTAAAACCGGTCACTCAAAGGTTTTTACTTTTTTGAGGCACTTCTTGATCATTTTGAAGCGCAATTGTTTTAGGGCTTTAATATAACACCATATCACAGCCACTGATAACACGTAAGGCCTTGCTTCTCAGATTTTACATTTGTAAACGATCTCTTTAAATCTTTATTGGAGTGATTTATTACGAAATGCATCTCGTATACATCAACATTATGATTTTAAACTTTACAATTAAAGAGAAGGTTGAGTTCTGGCGAGAGGTGAACAATAGTTTGTCAGCGTTTTCATTGTAATTATGCAAGTGTGGACGAACATGAGAGAAAAAATGTTCCATAAAAAAAGTATGGCTCTTAAAAAAAAGATGCCTTCGTATTCTAAATAGTATTCTAAAAAAGCTTAAAAATGAACACCGCATTTTCTTATACCACTTGTTTGTGTAGTCCCATAAACATATCTCTGTGTATACAGCGCTTGTTACTTTTACCAAGACAATTCTTATCACTTCATGATACCGCATTCTGTCTGCCTGGTAGTACAAAATGGCACGAAGAAGAGTAATGATTTAAATCCGTCAATGTCCAAAGTTTAAATCATGTAAAACATTTGATGTTTACTCAACGCTACTCATGTATATATAATGCCATGATTATAAAATGAGATAAAGTATTGCATAATACATGATACACTTCTTTGCTTGCTTTTTATGAATAATAATAATAAGCATCAGTAGGAATGAGAGGTTGTGCTTTTTAATTGTAGTCTGTAACTTTAACTTTAACCTGGTGCGTGCTCTCTGTATTAATTTTTCTTCTTGATGAAAGTTTTCTTTAATCTCCGATCGTCTCTTTTCATCTTATGTAATCTTTTAAGATTTGTATTAGACAGCTAGTCGTTTAATCTTTTTCATGCATGTTAGAAATGTGTACGTTTCAGGTCCTATCTATTTTATTATATGATGGCGGAATTTTGTATGCAAGTTTGAGAGATTGAGAGGTTATAATTATGATTTAAAAGAAGCACAGCCCTCAAATCATGACTACCTATTTTGTAAGGGACACACTTGGTATAGATAAATAAAGATAGACAAGTGAGTTTGTATCACTATTTTCTGTTTTCATTTTTTTATTTATTTATTCATCATTTATTTTTATGTTTATTTTATTATTATCATAATTATTATTATTATTGTTATTATTATTATTATTATTATCATCATTATTATTATTATTATTATTATTATCATTATTATTATTATCATCATCATTATTATTTTTTCTCTCTCTCTTTTTTTTTTTTTTTTGGGGGGGGGGGGGTGGGGGGACAAGTTCGTGATTTTTTTTTAATGGCGAATCAGCCAGCCGGCAAATATTCGGGGGGAGGGGGAGGGGGGAGGGGGAATGGGAGGAGCATCTGTTATTGTCCAAACACAGACAATCATTTTGCAGCCTAACGAAACCAAAATTGTATACATATAGAAATTATCTGGTCATTAATCTAGTTTGTATCTTGGAAGATGATTGGTTAGACACTTTCTTCTTAGAAATTAGACGTGGCAAAGATATTTTCAGTTTCGTACAGAACATGTTGTGTATTCCTGTAGGTATTTCCGTGTTCAGTAAATGAAAATGAAGTCGTTAACAACGTTGAAGTTAGCTTACATTGAATAACCTACACTGAACGATATAAATGAATAATACCGAGAGCAAAATTTGTTTTATGTTTAATAATATTCTTTGTCACAAGATCCACATTAATTATTATCATAAGATGATGACGTGGATCCTAATCACATGATTGGTTGAGAGCGTACACGTGACGCGGCATTAATTTTGACTAACGCGTAATTTGGATAATGACCGGTTATTATCCAATGGTAATTACCGGTCATTAGTAAAATTATATTATAATACATCATTTTATAAACAAATGAAAAAAGTTAATATTATAAAACAAATAATACACATCATTTTGTTCGGGCATTAGAAAAATTACCCGCACTCGGTACATTCAAAACAGTCCAAACACCCTCGGCTATGGCCTCGGGCGTGTTAGCCAGCTCCAAAGGTACCATGTGTGGGTAATTCTTACCAAAGCTCTTACTGCTGTGTATTATTTGTATACTACTACTACTTTTACTGATGCTGCTGCTGCTGATACTCCTACTACCTCTAATACTGTGTGTGTGTATTTGGGTTTTTACAGACATGTATCAATCAGGTATGATTATTTACATCTAGGGACCGATTGTTAACGTCACCATCCGAAAGACGTGACTCAGTTTCGAACCTACGTTCTCGGCTGAATCAGTTTATAACTTCCACTGTTAGCTGGATTACAGGCGCACGCCACAACGCCTATACTGCTGCTACTACATGTACTAATACTTATAATGATAATAATACTATGACTCGGTTTATTAAGTACTTTACAGATTATTATTACCTTGGTCATGTGATAAAGTCACGCACACAATGTGCACCATCTCCCCTCGGGGGGGGGGGGGTGTACTTCTACCACATTCGATCAGGGCATATGGTAAGTACTAGGACGTGTTCCCAAATTCATTAAACAAATTCTTATTTTCCTTTCTCCATAGTGATAAGTACAGAAAACAAAATAAATTGTGTGCTTTATGCTTTAATTCAACCTTTATGACACAATTCACGATGATAATATACAATATTATGGTTATAATCCCTAAGATGCAGAATTCTGCTTGTAGTCGGAACCCTGTAACATACATTTATTTGCAACTTTATTAATTTACTTTGAATGTTAATCTACATGTTGCACCGGGATAAACAAACAAATGTATACGTTTACATTATTGGAATATCATTCATCTGAGTAGAAATCAATACAATCTTTTTATCAACAAATATAATAGACAGATACCATGTTGAAAACACATGTAGTACAATGTAGTTTTTGTTGTTGAAATATATTATATGGTAGGCTCTACTCTAATAAACGTACTTCTTATTATTATCATTAAAGGAGACAGGAGGATTTATAGATGCCTTCTTTAATATTCCATCCATTGCCTCGTGTGTCCAAGGTTAGAAAATACGTTACATCATCAAACTGCTTTTATCGTTTCAAATGTCATGATTTTAAAACGATATAGAAAATCCAGATTAAGATGAATTTCTCCCGTTCCTGACGAAAGAACCAAATTAACCTATTATTTTTTACATAGTGCACATGTTTACACATAATGTTTACAAATTGAAACATTTTATGATTAAAAGAGCTCGTTAGAAAAATTACGTAATGACCATGCATGGTAAAAACTTAAGGTTAACAATTTAAAAAGTGCCAGCATTACTGGTGACAGATACTTTTAGAGATTATACAGTATACATATAATTATATTTTAATACAAATTCTGCGTTTCTGATATGAAATCATTGTATCATTGAATGAAAAAAGTTATACCTCTTTCATTTATGTTCAACAGTTACAAGTATCATGATTAATATATGTTCACTTCATTGAAATGTACTTGTGAGATACCGTACTTAATGTTTTCTTTGTATTTTCGAAGAAACCATTATTAATGTTAATAATAATAATAATAATAATAATAATAATAATATTTAATTTGTATATAGCGCTTAATACCAATTTTAGCATGATTTAGCGTGTGTCATATTAACAACATTCGGGAACGGTTGTCCGATTAGAAACCCTCGTGTATTTCTATTTGCCATTAGAAATTGGTTTAAGATGCAACGTGCCTGTTACGACGAACATTTTCCCGTTAAACCAGAGTTCCTGCAAAAGAAGTGAGTTTGCTAAAAGTATAAATATAAGATGAAATTTAGCCAATTTAATTTACATTAGTTAAATGATTAATTGAACGGTATAGATTAATGTGAGTTAACACGCATGGATGACGTGTCATATTGTACATTTGTTATCGAAAGTGGGCGTGTGTAACACGTTGAACTAATGGTTTAACATGACAAGGAAAAGCAATGTCATGGTGATTTAGATAAAACAGTCATAAATGCCGTGTTTAAATACTAGTAAAAGCGTTAGATGTAACGATTGTTCTCTTGATAGGCAATTTATGAGTACTTTTCTGAGGTCAAGTTGAGTCTAGTTATTTTTATGAATGGGAAAATAATTAGTTCTAGTTTTGCTTGTTTAAATATTACGAGCAGAGGTTGAGTTTTGGGATTGAATATATAATTATAAACATGAGTTAGTTCAATAAGCAAAGGTGATTTAGATACCCTGCTTGTATATACTATAGAAGGTCTTGGTACTTAGTTCTGTCTCTTTGGTTGTCAAGTATTGAACAAGTGTGGTTAACTGATGCTTAGGAAAGAAAGCAGTTATTCTAATCCGGTTAAAATTGCAGAGAACAAATATAGCATGTGTGTTAAAAGTAAATCCTTATTCGTTTAATACGGAAGATTATTTTTACGACGATAAAGTATGTAGCTATAGAGATTGATTTCATTAGTCATGTATTATGACAGGTATATTAGTATGTGAAAGGACACATCATGCAAGCACTCAAGTAATTATACAGTGTAATAGATTATGCAGATAAGTGAGCATACATTATAGAAATAATTTACAGACTTAGTTTATTCTTACTAGGTATAAATGAAAACACAAGCACAGAAATTTAAGTGCAATACACAAGTATTCATTTACATGTGCTAAATGTCTGTCTGTATTATTGTTCTTTATTTTATACAGATTGAATTGATACTACGACTTCTAAAGGATAAAGCACACCAGAATTCAAATCGAATTTGCGCAGACTGAGTTTTTCGGGGTAATTGCTGGGTGTTTGAGCCAACCAATCATTATTTTTATCTTGTAAATCACAACTTAACGCGTACTAAATAGCTTTACGTACAAAATTAATACAGATTATATTGTTTCGAAAGATAAATCGTCATCTAGTATAAATATTGAGAAGCGAAATCTAAACTAAGCACACTTATGCAACCATAGACATAATAGAAAAAACAGCTCGTAACTAACACTAGTTTTATGTTTACATATGAGATCCATCTGCAACCGACTCGTAACAAACTGCAAGATGCTCCTTTTTATCTAGATGATCTGCACTTAGTTGATCCAAGCTGGTTTCCCTCAATTCTGTAATGGAAGTAGCATACTCCGGAACATTCCGAGATCCATCTTTAACTGATTCGTAACAAACTTCCAGGTGCTCCTTTTTATCTGCATGCTCTTTCCTTCGTTGATACAAGCTGGTTTTCCTCAATTCCTTAACGGAAGTAGCATACTCTGGATCATTCCGAGATCCATCTTCAACCAATTCGTAACAAACTTCCAGGTGCTCCTTTTTATCTGCATGCTCTTCCCTTCGTTGATACAAGCTGGTTTTCCTCAATTCCTTAACGGAAGTAGCATACTCTGGACACTTCCGAGATCCATCGTCAACCGATTCGTAATAAACTTCAGGACGCTCCTTTTCATCTGGATGATCTGCACTCCGTTGGTCCAAGCTGGTTTCCCTCAGTTCCTTAATGGAGGTAGCATATTCTGGACACTTCCGAGATCCATCTGCAACCGATTCGTAATATACTTCAGAACGCTCCTTTTTATCTGGATGATCTGCACTTTGTTGATCCAAGCTGTCTTCCTTCAATCCCTTAACAGAGGTAGCATACCCTGTACCATTCCGAGATCCATCTGCAACCGATTCGTAATAAACTTCAGGACGCTCCTTTGTATCTGCATGATCTGCACTTCGTTGGTCCAAGCTGGTTTCCCTCAATTCCTTGATGGAAGTAGCATAATCTGGACCATTCTGAGATCCATCTTCAACTGATTCGTAACAAACTTCTGGCTGTTCTTGATTAATCGTCGCTTTGCCAATGTGTTTATTTTCGTTTCGATCTTTCGTTTGCTTACGTCGCAGAAAAATTATGATAACAATCAATATCAGAATGAAAGCAGAACCAAGAATGACGACAATCATGGTTATATTGCCATCTCCCGCGTTTTTGTCGGGGTTGGCATTCTGTTTTGTTGTTGTTTGATGTTTTGTTGTGGAAATTGATGTAGGTCTCCCGACGGGCAATCTCTTTGAAGCTGTATATAATAATGTTGAT